CCTGGTTGAATCGGTTTTTAACGTATGAAATGTAAAACCAGTTTCATATCTATTACCAACAACAATAAACTTTGTAGCCAATTATTATTTTATTTTTTTTATAATTAATCATGTCTTATTTACCACGTCGACCTCTTAACAGACCACCTGCCTACCATGCCATAAAGCGACATCCTTTTGCCCTTTTCGGACTGCCACTTGTTCTTTCAATTGTGGCTGGTTCATTTGCTCTTAGTCATTTGACAAAAACTAGATATGATGTTCATTCGAATAAAATTCGCAAGGTTTTCTTTTTCTTTTAAACAAAAAAAAAGAATTCAAGCAGTTGCTTAAATTAATCGTTAAAAAAAATAGGTAGAAAAAGAAGAATTGCTTCAAATGAATAAAGAAAGACAAGTACTCAATCTTCAAGAAGAATATTGGGTGTGTATCGATTACATATGCTTACTAAATATTTGTGGTGTCAGAATAAAAAATTTTTTGCTTAGTATTCGGATATTTGACGATAAAAATTACTGGTTTTTTTTTTTCTTTTTTTTTTTGGTTGGAATATTATTAGAAATTACAATCAGACAAAGAACAACTTAATAATTGGGATAACAAACGTGTTGAAAGAACCAAAGATCAATTTGACGGGGTTTTATAAAATTAATCATTACTATATTACTGTAAAAATTTTAACAAGTTTATAATAAATTCATAAAATTAGCATATAAATAACATTTGTTCGTTTGTATGTTAGAATAGAATTGTTGTAGATTTAGAATCTACTATAATAAATCGTTGAATTGAATTAAATATCGATATGCAGCCAATACTGTAATAAATGTGAAGTAACGAAGTTAAAGTAAATTACATTTTATTTTTATAATAAAATGATTTGGTTTTTTTTCAGATGTCGAACCATTTTTATCTCAATGCATTTGATGAATGGCTTTCTAAATGTATAGCTTAGCAGCAAATTAATAGGCGACGTATACATGATATTGGAACACCAAAAAAAAACCTATAATCCAACTTATTAAACTGATTCAAACCCACCTGTGTAGGCGCTATGGATAAATAAAGCGACTTAAATTCTAAACCAATATACTCGATATATAAGATAAATTAGAATTCACTTAAGCTTATACAGTAATTTGAATTCTTTGAATTCTTTAACACCTGTTTATTCATTCGACAATTATTATATAATAATGGAGAACAGCTCAACGATTAACAAGACTCCCACTAGCTTTGCCATTCTGGGCTTAAGATTATACCGATACAAATGATACCGATACACTCCAATAATATACTATCGCTATACTTATTTACCGCAGTCGCGCTAGAATACAGGGTCTTTAGCATATCCTATCGCGTAATTATAAACAGATAGGTTTTGCCTTGATATAGTAACGATAATTACTATGTACCGTACAATGATTGGATGTTAATACCTTATATGGCACAGGACCTTGGAAGTCAAGTCATGAAGTTAAAATTTTGAATGAATAGTGGTTGAGACTCTAGCAAAGAATTTGAAATCAAAAGATGTGTGCACTTGGTTCTTTCTATATTAAATTGAACTCTAGAAGATAGTGAACTAAAAGATCAAAACAAAATAGCTTATACTGTATCCATTTATTAAATAAATTTACCAAACATTCATATATATATATATTGTTTAAGATAATTATAGTCTATTACTTATACCTGTATACTGTATAAAATCAAATTTTCTACTTTATCACGTGCTTTTAAATTGGAATCACTTTATTGTATTTCGCGTTAACCAATCGCATTACAGCAAAACAATAAAAACAAACAATAAAGATTATATTTTGCATTTTTTATGGTCTGTCAGTTACGCGAAAAGAGACTAAAATGAAACGCAAGAACGAAGATAATGCCTCACAAGTTGGTCGTAATGTACGCAAAATTCAGCCTAATAGTAAAAGTGAAAAGAATTCTACAACAGTTAGCAATAATAGCAAGACCGCGATTAAAGGTCGAAGCGTACTCATACAGACCCCAGCTAATAAGAAAGTAGCGGATTCCTTACAAACACGAAAATTAGAGTTAGAAGAATTAAAGACACTCCGGGAAGAAAACGTCGTGCTTAATAAGGAAATTGAACAAATGAAAGCCGAACGAAAGAGATTGTTGGAGGAAAGAAGTAAACTTAGAGAAGAAAAGAGACGAAGCACGTTAGAAAAAGGAACATTGATGGCAGATGTTTGTCAGATGGAACATCGTCTCGCATGTGAGGAAGCACGAGTGGTTGAACTTGAAGAAATTCGGGCCAATTGTCAAAATCAATTAAGCATTTTAAATGGAGAAAACATCCAACTTGATCGAGATCGAGATCTTTACAGAAATGAATTGAATATTGCCAATGAAAAGATCTTGACGCAAACAAAAAAGTTAACAGAACAACAATCACTGATTGATGTTCTTACAACGAAATTGCAAGAACAAGAAAGTATTTGTCAAGGTCTTAGAAATTCGATCGAAAAGTTGAAAGCCAAACAATAGATTATGAAGTATGTAGGTACATCTAGGAATGGTAAGTTAATCCTGGCTCTCAATACTTTGTAAAACATAAAAAAATATATTAATAAAAAGCTACTTAATTCATATCAAACTTTTAGAATATATATATATATATTGATCTTCTGAATAACTTAATACGTATGCTAATATTGATTTATTTAATAAAATTTTGGCTTTTACTGTATAAGGCAAAAGAGGACAATATCGAAGTTAACATGAAGTCTATCAAATAGAGTTCAATGATTTTTATACCATTCAATTTGTTTTACCAAGATGAATAGAAGGATATAAAAAAAAAAACATTCAAATAATCATATAACAGATAAGTAATCTTTTTATTCACATAGAGCGGGTAGATACGTACTTCAATTTTATGCGATCCTCCTAAACCATAAAATTATTTGACACTAATAAATATATATTATGTAAACAAGTTTTAAATAAAATAAATTTTAATACTGCTATAGTATTTCTTTTTACTTTATGTAGTGAATAAAAATATATGTAATATATATGGTAAATAGTATTTGGGTCTTTTATATTATAAGCTTTAAAAATTGATTAGTATCCATACGCGATAATTTAATTTAGATTAAATTCACAATTACACTCCTGTAGAAAATATGTTAATAAAATTTATAGGACTGGGTGAAACCCGCGTTGTAAATTAGTAAAATCCGCTACGTAGATCACGTTAGGGGTGAAATCCGCGTTTAGCTATGTTTTTTATTATGCAAAAGCGAATTTCACCCTCATGTGACGGATCTTAATAATTCACAGCGCGGGTTTCACCCTGTCGTAAATTTATTAGGAAATCAACTTTTACCCTTCTGCAAACTAAAATTTCTTTAAACTTTGAGCAAAAATATTTTAGCAACTATTAGACTATATAAAAAAAAGATTTGTCCCTCATCGAGGGGTGTTACAAATGAAAATCAATTATGGGTTATCTGTCCTTTCCGATTTCGTGCTATAATAACCTTACATAATAGTACAGACTTCGAAAGTATCGTATAACACAACCTACGTTACTGATTACTACGTATGCTATTTATGGTGGCAATATTGGCGGGCAGGGCAAAAAAAACCAGAATCATGCTGGAAAAAACCCTGCCGCAACCGAAATCTTTAGTGACTGTCGTCTCGACAGGCCACTTTCTACTGCTAAACTCGGAATAATTTGTGACTGTCGTCCCGACAGGCCACCTTTACGACCAATAAATCCAAAATATGACTGTCGTCCCAACAGGCCACTTTTTCAACCAAAAAAATCCAAGAATACGACCGTCGTCCCGACAGGTCACTTATTAAAAACTCGAAACGTGACTGTCGTCTCGGCAGGTCACCTTCATATATACAACTAGCAAAAGAAAAATTTTCATGTGACTGTCGTCCCGACAGGCCATTCCTATTTCAAAAACATATGTCTGTCGTCCGATAGGCCATAACTATCACAAATCAGCTGAAAACAAAAGTTGTCGAATTGAAGAGCGTCAAATAGAATCCCTAAGCTGCTGCAAGCTCGAGTACGAGGGTAGGGTAGGGCGGGGCGAAAAAACCAGACAAAGTCGGGTTAGCAGAAAAAACAGAAATTACCTTTCCTGGGAAAAAAACCCATTTCACTTAAATACTACCCACGATTACTAATCTCAAATACTACGTCATTACGTCATAAAATCACATACATACAATGCATCAAACAGAATCATAGTTAAAATTATTATGCATCAAACGACAAGATCATACGATCATGCATTACAAGCAATTACTATATACCCGTGATCGATTCGAGACAAAAATGCTGCTCCGATACTTTCGTATCGGGCAGCTAATTTTGTCCCTCATCGAGGGGTGTTACAAATGAAAATCAATTATGGGTCTTGCAGAGTATCGCTACATAATGGCACTGGTTGAAATATATTAATTACGACTTCACCTCTTGGCTAGTCGAAGCCCATCAGCTTAGAGGCCCCCAACTCGGCGGTGCTAATCGCTCTCATGTACACCTGTACTGCCTCAGACGTCCAACCACCAATTGATTGGATTTGTTCCATTGTCATTCCCCCTTTCATGGCTGCAGTTGCACCACCAATCCTCAAACTATGCGCTGTATATCTCCCATGTAGTCCGGCATTTTCTGCAAACTGTTTGACAATCGCTGATATAGCTGCAACAGACAACTTTTCTCCACTTCTAGACAAGAACAGAGGTTTTTCCGGTGCTGTAACGGGCCTTAGCCTCAAATAACAATCCAACAACTTCACCGGACACACCTCACTTGTTGATCTTTCTACCGGGATAAACTTGCCTTTTCCCAACTGGTCCGTTTTTGACTTCGTCACCCTAATCCATAATTTTCCGTCCTTTTCTAAAACATCAGATCTTTTCAAATTGCATAGCTCACCCGGCCTACGCATAACCCTTAGACCTAATGCTATTAATGCCAAATCCCGTGCCCACAAAACCACATTAACCCCGGGTGGTGGGCAATCAATATATCTTCTAATAACTGAGACTGGTAGAGGGTCTCTTGGCCACTTGGACTCTAGCTTTTCTCAGGACGTTGTTCTTTTAATCCCTTCAACGATTATCTGAATCAAACTGCCCTTCGTAGGGTCCTCAAAGCCCCTTACTTTATGCTCCCTAGCCACCGCAGCTAGGCAGGTTGGTATCTCAGCCGTTCTTCTTGATAGCTCTAGCCAAGCAAGAAAGCTGCCAACAGCTCTCTTGATGCTGGGTACGGGGGCATCCCAACCCAACAAGCGAAATCATTAAATACACCCTGCGCCTTAGCCAAACGTTTCCTGTATTCTTCACTAATTGATCTGTCCTTCAAATATGCTGCTCTCTTTAACAATTCGTCGACCAATCCAAAAGTACTGCCCTCAATGACCACTGGCTGTTTTTGCAGGGCTCCAGACTTCCCGATGGACCCGGATGGATAATTTGGCTTGGTGGAGGTAAGTTGATCTCTTTCCTTGCTGAGTTTACTATTAACGGCCACCATGGGGCCGAGACCCATATTGGAACTATAATTACTATCCAAGCCCCACATTCCTTCGCATGACATAATGCTCTGTGGATCAAACAAAAGGGTGGGCAGACATAATTCTTTACTCCCGCCCAATTTTGAGTAAAACAGTCCACTGCCTCTGTTCCTGGACAGAGATATAGGCTGTTGAATCGTTGGGCTTTTGTATTCAAGTGACTTGCGAACCTGTCCACTTCGAACTTTCCCCAGGCCTGTTCTAACAGCACTGTTACATTCGAACTCAATACCCAATCCCCTTGATCTAACACCCTTGTTAACATATCTGCTGGGTTCAACTGACTCGGAACCCACCTTGTGCTGAAAATTCCAATATCGGCCTCTACACACACCTCCCAAATTTGCCTTGTAATGTCCTTTTGCCAATCCGTAGGGCCCCCACTTATTACTGTTTTCAAGGCTACTCAATTGTCGATACATAGAGTCACCCAGGCCCTTTTTAGCAACTCCTTGAATGACTGAAGTGCACGAAGTACTGCCAAAGCCTCCAACTGTGCTATAACTCTTGAGGTATGAGGTTGAGCCCAACTTCCCGATGCCTTGTGCCCCTGAAAGATACCGCACCAACCGGTTATTGATACATCGACGTATACCAACCTCACTCGGCAAGGTTTCCAGGCCAGCCAGCCATTCCACTTTCTTAAATTTACTATCAACCAACGGATATCCTCGACTGCCTGTTCTGATAGTTGAATTCTGTTGTCCCATTGTCCAATAAGCCGATTCTTTGAGTCTATCAGCTTGTAGAACTCCATACACTTTACCTGGCTTGGAAGAAAAGCTCTTCCCAAACTTACTATTGTTCTTGTAACTGACGCTAAGCTCCTCGCCGTTACTACTGGTGCTTTTAACAGTGCCTCCATTCTTGAAACCGCCAAAGTTATCTTTTCTTCCGGTGCTACCACCATACTGTTTAACGTATCTATTATCATTCCACAAAATTTTAAGATCTGAGTTGGGTCCCAACACCCCTTCTCTTTGGCCCGAACCCATCCGCATCCTAATAAATCTGCCTCTATTACTGTTTTCCTTATTTTCAACAACACATTCCTCGTTGGGTGGGCAACCCATAAATCGTTCAAGTGGTTTTCACAATATATTCCCTGGGAACGCTATTTGCCAATTAAAGCTCTCGTTAGTTTCGAAAAGACCCAGGAAGCCTGACTTAGGCCAAAAGGTAACACCCTGTATTGGTATCATATTTTTGCTACAGAAAAGCCCAGCAGGCTCTGAGCTTCGGCACTCATAAGTACATGATGGTAACCATCCTTCAGATCGAATGAAATCGCCCACCAGCTCCTGCCAATTGTCCTTAGTAAGCTGCCAAGCCCCTCGAAATGAAAGGACTTCTTGGGCAATGTTTGGTTTAATCTTCGCAAATCGATCACTAGCCGAAACTTCCAGGAACTCTTTTTTGGGACCAAAAAAATCAGGCTCACTTCCAGAAGCTCCGATGATTGAGTATTTCCTTCGCCAACCTTTACTATTGCTCCTGACATTTCTAACCTTACTAACTCTTCTTTCAATCACTGTTTCTCCTCTCCTGTAAACTGATAGGGCCTTGGGTCCAAACTGGCTGCTAAACGAACTAAGTTTCTTAGGTATAAGGGGATTCCTTTCCTTAACCACATTAACACCAATTGAGATGGCTGAATCACATCCTCCCAGTACCTTATCACCACTTTGCTGTAAATTCTTCCCGTTACCTGCTCCTCTGGAACTACAATCTCTTTTGCAGACTACCAAGTGTATTCAACTATTCCCTGGCTGGGTTCCATCACCTCGAAAGGGCAAGCCGAGATGCTTTCTAGAGCTACACTCATTAGCAAAATGACCTTTACCTTCACATAAGTAACAAACTACCTCTCTTCTCTTGAAGCCTTTGCCTTTATTACCTTTCTTGGGTCAGGAGGACATTGATGGGTAAGATTGTTGCCGTATTGGTGATGGCAGCCCAACATTTGAACTAACATGTTGTAAGTTCTGATCAACACCTTGCAAGAATTGGGGACTTGTCTGAACTGTTTGAGAAACTGTCACAAGACCTCCGAACTGTCCTTGCAGAACCATCAGTTGGTTCAAAAACTGCTGGTAAAATCCCGTTTGATGTACGTAAGGCTGCATTTGTGCGAATTGTAGTACCGGCACACTGGTCAAGTGAAAGATAGGGGCCTGAGTTTGGGACTGCTTCGAACGAAAGTGATAAGCTGATCTCAGCTTCTTGGATTTAGTAAAATGTTGCACTGCTACTCTAGCTATTTCACGCTTATTCCCTAAGAGTTCAGACATTGGATCCAAACATCTGCAGTTGCCATTTTGAATGCCACACTTCAACCATCTTCGTCCGCCACTCTTACAACATAAGCTCTCTCCAAAACCACCTGCCTTGCCAAACGGATATAGGCTGAATCTCCAGACAACAAGGCCTTGTTCAGTAATGCCCCTACTTTACATAACTCATTATACTCCCATTGGTTACACTGCTTTGACAGCTCACACTTCTTCCAAATGCTTCTACGCTTCACATCTTCTAGCATCAGAGCATCTAAATCCGCATTCCAACTTGGGGCTTTTTTGTTCAAGGTTTTGATATGTGCAAAGTTTGAGCCAAACGCCGCCTGCCTTCCAAAAAGGTCAGGAAATTTTGCGCTGCTGTCCTTAATTGCTGCGGCCTTTCACCAGCTCTCTGAAACGCATTAAGCTTCTCTGAAAAACTCACATCTCGATTCCCAAGAAACTGTGGCTACGCATTTTTTCCTTTTTCAAATGGTTCAGATTCACCAATAGACCCTTCTGGCCCCATCTGGGCTTTACTTTTCCTTGCTAGCCTAGCCACAACTTCTTTTTTGGGGTCCGTATCAGATACGCTCATTCCTCTGCAGACAACTTTCAACGCTTCTAATGACAAACATTCCAGGTTCGATTTCAAACCTGCTTGCACCATATCAAGTTGAGCTGAAGCATCGTTTGACACTACAGGTTCTGAATCCCTATTCGACGTTGACATCACAATAACCACAGAAACTAGTAGTTACTCATAAAAAAAGACGATCAATACTGTTTTTAATTTAGGCACAATAGACAAAGCACAAAACTAGTTACTTCGCTCTTGTATAATAAAACGATCAATGTTTGTTTTTATTTAGATATGACAAGCAAGCACAAAACCAGTTACTTGCTCTGGAATAATTAAACGAAAGATTTCTAACTAAGGTAAGAAATAAGTGTCACACAAAAAAACCAGACAAAGTCGGTTTAGCAGAAAAAACAGAAATTATTTTTCCTAGAAAAAAACCCTATTTCACTTAAATACTATCCACGATTACTAATCTCAAATACTATGTCATTACGTCATAAAATCATATACAAGATCATACAATGCATCAAACAGAATCATAGTTAAAATTATTATGCATCAAACAACAAGATCATACGATCATGCATCACAAGCAATTACTATATACCCGTGATCGATTCGAGACAAAAATGCTGCTCCAATACTTTCGTATTGGGCAGCTAATATTTTATCATTTGTCGCGGGTGCATTGTGACACACCCATAAGATCTGGTGTAACGTGAAATCAAAACAAACTAACAATGTATTAATTTAGAGTAAGGGTTAGTACTACTATAAGGTTGTGTTAGATTGTGATAAATGTTGGTTATATTCAAAATTTTAAAAGAAATTTGTTTTGTTAAAATACATAAGATGGTTTTATTACTATTTTTTTAATTTCATATTATATCTGATTTTACAATCTGATTGGTTGATCAGGTAGGTGTGTTACAACATATATGCATTAAATTATATAACTTAAAAAAAATTTTTTTGGTTTTCATAACTTGGCCAGGTTAAAATTTAAAAACTTGTAAAAAATTTTATTTATTTTTTTATTGCTATTTTTAAAATAGTTGAAAATGGTCAATAAATTTTTTTTTAGTAAACACATAAATACTTGAACACTTGAACATTCGATTACTTTAGTATGTTGATTAAAGATTGATGCCTAATTTACATATTTGTTAGAACAATAATCATATGGTATAACTATTGTTTCAATAATTATATAAACCAAGAATTAATTTTCAATTATTATGCTAAGATAATTGAGTATTTAAGTGTTTATATATTTAACAAAAAAAAATTTATTAGTTATTTTCAACTATTTTAAAAATAGCAATAATATTAAGATGATTATTTAGAAGTCTAGCATATTTTATTAACTTTGATTCAAATGTCAGAATTATTATATAAGCAACCACTGACTTTGTTATATTAACAAGAATACAATTAGCTATATGTATAACTTTAGTTATTGCCTATTTAAGAGCTTTACTATATCTATTACTATTTATAGTTATCTACTAATTGTTATACCTAAAATCTACTTGTAGATCTTCTATTTAAACCCTTTGATCAACTTAGTATTGTCAGTTATTTTCTCTGAAAAAGAATTGTTATATAAGCTCTTTAAAATTTTAAAATAGATATATACTTCTATATAGGTTCTTTATTTTCGTAATAAACCTATTAGAATGATCTATATCTTATATATATATCATCTAGATTTTTGGTAACTTATGTTTAGGCCACAGCCAAGTACTTGTAGCATTTTATCTTCACTACTGTTACTTACTTCTTGTCTTTATAAAGTTCACACAAACCTAGCACCTACTTTATGAACTAACAATAGTACTTCAATACCAACTATTAGTACCCAAACTTACAATTCAGATGGTCTAAAAAGGACTAGTAGATGTCTTCTGATATTCTGAATGAATACTTTTTCCTTTGATTATATTTAGTAGCCTAGTTGGTGTAGTGCTTTTGCCAAATATTCAATCTTTATTTAGTTTGCTTTAATACTTAACAAAAATTTGATTTTGAGTTTTTAAAAAAGTTAAGCATCTATTAGTTATACAAATTAGATTTTAAAATATATTAATTATATAATATATAAAATTGATTTTTTTTTTTTTTTTTATAACTAGCCTCTTTGGCGTAGGGGTTTTTATTTAAGTATAATGGATGGGGAGCTCATAATAGAACTCTAATTACATTAAAGAATACAACTAGTTATATGTGCGTCTTTTGAACACCTATTTAAATAGTCTGCGTATAGATAACTGTACACTATAAGTTCTATACTAGCTGCTATATCTATAACCTAACTAGATGATTACCTATTTAAACCCTCTGTAATATACACTGCCTTTTTATATCACTGGAACACTTTATTATATTTGTTAGTCAAGAGTTCCAGATACATACTGTAGCCTTAGGACTAATTTCTTCTCGAGTCATCATTGCTAAAGCTTTCCGTATCCACAATCTGGCTAATCTAAATTTTCAGTAACTTATGCCAAGTCTAAGAACAAGTATTTGCAAGCCAAAGCTGCTACCATTACCTATTTCTGCTCTTGTAGAGTTTACCCAAACCTCAGCACCCACTTTACGGACCATCTACTATTTTACTAATCCTTAAACTCCCAATTCAGATAGCCCGGAAGAGCGGATCCCTTCCTCAGAATATACTGACAGCCTGGTTGGTATGGTGCCTTGCCAAACACCTCAGTCCCATTCAGTTTTCAGATCTTCAGTGATAATCTTTTACATAATGCCATCGAAGATTTGTGCTACCTCTCTACTCGGGACTTGCCAAGTGAGATTTTGTGTGCCCTAGCCCTTGAATTTACATAAATGCTTCACTCGAGTTTCATGTAACTCTTGCATCACACTATAGTTCTACGTTCTTTCAATACAAGCTGATATGACCAAAGCTACAGATCTGATGATCTATCAGATTATACACAGTCTGCCATAACACATTCTGTAAAATTCGAATTTCATCGCCAATGGGATTTGAACTCTTGTCCTGTTGCTTGGGGATGCAACAACTTACCAACTTTACTAAGTTGTCACACCCTTTAAAATTAATTTTTAGAACTAATCTGACCTTAAATTTTATAACAATCTCTTAGATTGTAATCATATAGACAGGACCCTAAAAAACTCTGATACAACTCAGATCTGAGTTTATATAATATTAGCCAAATAGGCATATAAAATAGGTTAAAATTTAAAATTTTCCTATATAAAAATGCAATGTTTGATGAATTTCTATGCAAAATTTTCTTTTTTAGTAACCTCTGAGTTATATCAGAGTTCTTCAGGATCCTATATAGGTGGATTGTGCTCATTTTGTAATATCTAAATATGATCACGTTGTAATAAAATAGTCTAATTGTGATTATATATTAGTATTTAGTTTATTTTACGCAAATCAATTTAGCTGAAATTAATATTATTACATCACTTATTTTAATGTGATAAATTTTTTAATATCACAAAATGAGCACAATCCACTCATATATAAAACACAGTCAAATTGCCTGCGTTTTTGCACTTTTTTGGCTCTGATTTACTTTAATAAAAAACTAAAATAATTAAATAAAACTTTGTACAATTATATTTGAAAATAAGTATTATTTTTTTGCAGTATTTATTTTTAGATTATAAAAAAAAAATTTAGGTTACTTATGAACCTAAAATATACAATTTTAAAAATAATTTATAAAGAAAAAATTTTTTAGTTTATCTATAACAAACTTTTAAATATTAATTTTAGACTTATAGTTTCTAATACAACTTTATAGTTTGAATTAAGGATTATAATTTTAATTAAGAGCAAAAATTTTTTCTAGCTTCAGAAACATATAAAATTTTAGAAAACTAAAAAAATTTTTAATACTAAACCCTAATATTATACAACTTTAAACTTTAATTAATCAAAAGTTTTTTAATAATTTTAAAAATTTTTTTTAATAAAGTTGATAAAATAAATCTTTAAAAGTCTTTTTTAATTAGAAAGTATATTACTAAAATTAATATTTGAAATTTATTAAAAAAATAAGTTTAAAAAAATAAATGCAAGCAAATTTGCCTGTATTACAATTTAAGAGATAGTATTTTTTTTTTAATATTAAAGTGATCACTTTGGAGTCTGGCATATTTATTAACTTTGATTGCAAATAACTGATAGCTACAAAGCTATACTAACTTTATTACATTAATAAAGATATATTCTAGCTATATCTGTGCCTTTTAAATATCTAATTTAAGTAGTTTTCTATTACTAGATTCTATACTAGATGCTGTATCTATAATCTACTATTATTTGAGTTATTTAATTAAACCTTTTGATTAACTTAGCGCCATCAGATATTCTCCTCAAAAAAGAACTGCTACTAAGGCTCTTTAGGACTATTTTATTCTCATAGTAAACCTACTAAAGAAGGCTATATTATATATATATATCACCTAGATTTTTAATAACTTATGTCTCGACTATAGCCAAGTACTTGTAGCATTTTACTTCTGTTACTGTCACTTACTTCTTGCTTTTGCAAAGTTTATCCAAACTCCAGCATCTACTTTACAGACTATCAACAATACTTCGATGCCAATCATTGATATCTCAAACTTCAAATTCAGATAGCCTAGAAGGGACTAGTGAGTGTCTCCTGTTATTCCAAATGAATTTTTTTTCCTCTAGTTATTCAGTGGCCTGGTTGGTATAGTGTTTACCAAACACTTGGTTCTTGTTTAGTTTATCTTTGGTATTTAGTTTTTAGATAATAGTCCTTTATGTAATACTATCGAAGATTTGTATTACTTTTCTATTCAGACCTTTCTAAACGGGCTTCTGTATCACCTGATCTTTTGAATTTATTTGACTGCTTCATCTGGGATTCATATAACTCATGCATTATATTATGTTTCAATGAGTTGGTGAAACCAAGATTATAGATGCTAACCTAATTAATATGTTATATAGTCTGTTATAACATATTTTGCAAATTTAAATTTTATTGCCAATGAGATTCGAACTCTTGTCCTGCTGCTTGGAAATATAACAACTTACCAACTTCACTAAGTTGTCACACCCTTAACAATGGTATCTTAAAGCATAGCGGGCTTTAAATCTGATTGGATGATCGACCGAA